AAAAAAATATCATTATGATAGCTGTTGATTGCTTTCAGCTTGGTGGTGTAAAAAAATGAATCATATTGTATATAAAGACTGTTTGCTGATCTTGCGGTATTTCACTTCTCTGGTAAGTTTTTCGCATTCTTACAAATGTTTTTTTTGAGCAAACAACTACACCAACGAAAGAAACATACTGAGTGGTTGCCAAAAAATATATATTAGATGATTGAAAACATAATGCCTAACTTAGCTAACTTTTGAGCTAACTTAGTTAACTTTTGAGCTAACCACCTGCTAAAAGTTAGCAGAGTTAACAAGTTTAGCCTAACTTGTTTTTCTTTTAGCTAACCTTCTTAAAGGCCCTAACCATTTAGCATGTATATAGCATACTTCTAACATACATCTAACATATGTCTAACATATATCTAGTTAACTCAGACAACCTTTCTAAGTACTTAGCAGGCACAGGGTTCACCTAAGTATGCAAGTTGAAATCCATGGCAGCCACTGGGCCTTCCCAGCCGATACCACAAAAGAAGCAAACATAAGCTGCAGTAGCAGCTCTGCTCTATAGAACGATACAAATACAGCTGCTTCGCACCGTCAGCGACGCGACGTTCCCGTCCACTCCGCAGCTCTCGGCCTGATGGTAACCTCAGCACACGAAGGTCGAGCCCTTGCGACCGGGAATCGTTTCACCTGTAAGCTATACGACCGGTCTTTGCAGCTGACAGGAACGAGTCAGAGAAGGCTACTTAGTAGGTGGAGCCTCTCCTCGGACCCACAACTGCAAACAACAGAGACACGGCACCGACTGTCCGACAGACACCTGTATTGATGTCCGTTTGTAATACCAGGACTGTCTACCCCTTCCCAAACTGTTCCCACCAACCCGTTGGCGGTTTCAGAGCTGGAACTCTCTTCGCCTTCGCCTTCCCCTGGGGGCGACCCACTGAAGGGTTGCTCAACGTCTTCCATGGCCGGGGCCACTTCCGCCGGCTCCATCGGTGCACCTGGCTGGGACGGCGCCGGTCCAAATCACTGGAACGGCAGGCGACGACTGGGCGGGGTTGCAGGCCATGTGAGGAATGAATGCGAATGAAGAACACGTTTCAACTACGATGAATGAGATGAATGGAGGCCACTCAATCTTGAGTCGAACCAGTCTGACGGGTCTGGGTCAACGTCAACTCGAACCACGCCTGGCACCACTTGAACGAAGACAGGCACAACTTGAACCATCATCATGCCTCCGAGCAGGACACCGACATCAATCAAGCCAGGCATGAAAGGGACAAAGTGCTAAAAACATGGCTAAAGGCTAAAGACCGAACAAAAATAGAAAACATAACAAAAACAAATTGGACAAAGCCATGGCCAACTTAAGAGTTCCTGCATGGAACCTGAAGACTTTTGTGCTCAAATCATCGAAGGGTCCGCGAACGGACACGACACGCCTTCCATTCTCGGAACCAGCCTGGTGCGCCGGTGAAAGACTGAAGGTACGTGGTTTTTGCCGAAAAACATGAACGCACACCACTCGAACACGTGTTGGGTTTTTTCATGTGTTTTTTTACTTTTTTAAATAAGGAAATGTATCTGGGTGTGTATATGACAATTCCAATCATCTATCAATGATTCGTCTTGTCATTATCGTCGCCCAGAATTTTTTGTCCGTTCGGGTCTCCCTATTGGGACTCCACACCGGACTCTCTATAATTAGGGTCCTGTAAGGATTTCATCATTTCTTGCTCCGTTGTGGGATGTTTTTTATCGAACAATTCGTGTTTGGGCGTCGATTCGAATCGAAGAATCACGGATCACGGCTGCCATCTTCAATGGGTTCGGCTGCTGAACCCTAAGAGCGCCCAAATGAACCGGTCGCTCCCAATGACCATGGGGACCGTTACGTGACCTGTTCTTCTGAAATGTCCATGGCACCCAAGGCGATCAGTTGAGGCCATAAGTTTCCTCAAAACAAGAGTCCCTTGGCAAAGGGAAGGGACTAGTGACAAGAAGCTACGAACGGGGCTCCTGGCATTACTACTATAGTGGCATTCTTACGTTCGCATCTTCCATTCAAACCTCCCTAGGTCAGACTCCACACCAGACTCCGACCCCGCGCAGGACGACCGAACGCGCCTTTCCCCGAAATCGCCTCGCCCGTTTCGTCCCAGAGGGCTTGAGCCGGTAAAGTGCCGCGTTTCCAAAGTGGACAAGCGTGTTCATTGAAACATCCAGTATACCTGAAAACATGCGAGCGTGTTATTTAATTACCAACTATCCGCAACTCTCGAAAGTGGCTTCGAATGTTCGTCCTATTCCTCACTCAGGCCCCGAACCTCGAACCTCCACTTGTCACTGGATGGGTGGCCTGCGATCGTCGCAGCGCTCCCGCGGGAGGTCCTTTCCTAAAACTGCAAGAAAGGAGCGCAGCCCTTCCGGGCTACCACTGGATACATCGTTTCTCTTCGCAAGAAATTGATACAATTTTGCTTCACGATCTCCAAATGATCTACATCACCAAAGCATAAATGTATGCCATTGCACTGCTGTGTTGGATCATTGAACTCTCGAAGCAACCGGAGCCAGGAGGAGAAACATTCCACGACGACCCAGGAGAAACGGGAGCCTGTGAGAAGTTTCTCCCAGGCGAGAGTCCACTGGAGCAAGCGCTGAGCTAGAGTCCACTGGAGCAAGCGTGGATACAACATGACTACCTTCAAAGTGACCCTTTGATATCCCAGGATGAGGTCACTTAGGTCTGTACAAGGTCACTTAGAGACTCCAAAGAGGTCACTTTGAAGGTCCTGGAAATAATCCATTACATTGGTGGTGTTGGGGTCAGTGTGTATGCAAAGATTTCATTGGACATCTAGTGTCTGTGACCAAATGGTATTCTTCCACAGCTTCGAAGCTGCGTGTGTTTGCTCTGTGTCACCATTTGGAATGAGAGTCAACCAATACGTCAAACAAGTCATGATTCATGACGTCAAACCCTTCTTGGATTGCCTTGAGCCAAGCTTTGGAGGCCATTGCTCTTAGGTTGGAGGCGATCTTTGCTCACCAACTCTGTAAAAGGTTCACGGCCATCAGCGTCATATCAGAATCGGCCATGAAACTCCTTTCCTTCTCCTTCCCCACATTGCGTAACTTTGCACAACTTTATGACCGAGATATGTTGCAGTATCTGCAACAGTCGTCCAGTTTCTTCCCCTCTCTATCTTCTCCTATCCTGTCCTGAACTCCGACATTGAAGGCGGGAACCCTCAGCAGGCCCATTTCTTTGAACAAGATTAAGCCGATTAAGCTGTGTCTGTTTTACAGAATTGGATGTCTTTTCGTTGCTACAATTCAACCCATGCATTTGCACTTCTCAGTTGTCTCCCAGCGTCAAAACAGATCTCAGCACCCGGCTTCCAAACATCACAGCTTCCATCTCTTAGGTCTTCGGTCTTATTCCGTTTTGAGAGAGAAGCATGGAGGAAGGTCTTATTCCGTTTCTTCTTAGGGCTTCTCTTAGGTCTTCTCTTAGGTCTGCATGGGATGTGCATGGGATGTGGATGATGCCGACGGCATGATGCCGACTGAACTGCACCTGTCGAAAACCGCCTTCGCTCTCTTTTCACTTTGCAACGGTTTGGCGCCGGATGCTGTACAAGTGGGCCAAGGTGTGCAGAAGGAGCATGACAAACATTTGATGGGCGCCTCTGAAGGGAAGTGTTGCATTTTTTGGGCGAATGATTGCCATGTAAAGCTCTGGGGTTTGGATGACTCGATGACCGACATATAAAGTAGCATTGACCAATACGCGTTTCTTCACCAACAAAAACAGTGTTACGGTTGCTCATGAGTTCCTCACGGGTTGCTCTACCGGATGATGGATTGTGGACCAAGACCGGAAGTCTTGGGCATCCAGCTCTCTGCGGTTGACCAACTGCTCAGCAACAAGATGATGATTTCTGTTTCGTTGACCAAACATCAATTCGTGCATTGCGTGAAATCCAGGACCATAAAACATCGAATATCTCAACAAGCGTAATTTTGAGACATTGAGATAACCTCAAAAGTTTTTGAAACACACTAATTAATCATACTTTATCGTAATTAATATAATATACCTAGCACTATACTATAGTGTATACATTATGCACACATGTTTCCTAACTGAACCCTAGAAGTCCAGTTCGACTATATTTTGACTGGCTGAAGTGTTCAGGAAGTTCCCTTTCATCAGGTCCCCTGCCCTCGTCAGACCAGTCTTTTGATAGTCTGACCGACTCCCAAAGTGAATGCTCCCTGGCGTTATGGACTTCAGGCGGTCGGAGCCGTGGCTCCCAACCTCCGCACCGCACTGTGCGCGCGGTGCCAGACCAGCCACGTCTGGTCAGGTAAGCTGATGGAAGATGAAGCCCACGCAGCAAAGGAGGACCACCATGAGGACCTGAAGTGTTCAGCATGTTCGTGCCATGCAAATGGTTGGGTTTGTTGTTGAACACTGAGGCGCACCGGAGCAGTGGTGGTAGGATTCGGTCCTGAGTCCTGAGTCTCAATCCTCGGATTCTCTGCTTCGAGGATCACGACCCCCCCCAAAAAAACAACTGTAACAGTACGACATGTAGAAAGTCAAGCGGAGTTAAAGTACCCCTGATATGAAGACTTTCAGAGTGCTCGATGTTTGCGGTGTTTGCTCGATTACCACGGGTACGGGGAGTTCTTGCAGGGTTGGGCCAAGGATTGGTTGACATTGGTGGAATCGCATTCTTTGAACAGTGTGCAAAGCAAAACCATTGAGTCCAATTCAAGGTACAATATGGTACAATCTACATTCAAAACGTTCACTCATTGCCTTGTATAACATGTTTAAACAGTAGTCCGATTTGACAGACTGTGGATCCATTGTATTCAAATGCTCTTCAGCACCCTGAGGCCGACTCTCAGACCAGTCCTGAACTGGTCAGGCTGATGCTGCCGGTGCTGCCGCTCAGACTCACTTGCTTCCTGCGCAGTGCCACTCATCTTAAGCTGCGAGGGCAATGGCATAAGCTTGCGAGGTAGAATGCCATCCTTGGCTGGAGGAAATCCAACCATTCTCAGAGCAAACGTAAGATAGCACTGGGCCCAAGATCAAAAACATCGGGCCATGCCACAAAACACATCTGGCACGTCCTTCGTTGTGGGTTAGGCAGCAGCTGCAGGCGGCCAACAGCACAAGAGGGCAAAAGCAGTTGACAGCCAGTATTGCACCCAGAAACATCGCAAACACAGTAGAAGTTCGCCAACACAACACCAAGTTCAAAACTGCATGCCCCGCACAGGTTCGCCAACACAACGCCAACACCAACAACAACACACCATCAACAGGGGATTCAACAATAAGCACCAGGTCGGGAAGGCGATGCTTGAAGTTCCAAACGCACCTCCGTCTGGCGCACGTGGCGGCGCATTCTTCTCCTGGTCCTTCTCGCTCCAACCGGTGGAGTGTGTACGGAGCACTCGGGCCCCGAAACAGCTTGGAGATGTCACCGAACGGTGGAGTTCTTGGGCATTGTTCGACGCACGTCAGCGCGTCTTTTCGTGACCACGGAGGATCTTGACAAGCGAGACCGGCATTTCGAGCAAAGGCATGCGAAAACTTCGTCCTGACTCGACTCAGTCTGAAAAAGCGTCTTGCTTCTGCCAAATCGATGGTCTGCAGTCTTGATCCTGCACATGAACATATGATTCTTCAACAGGACAATTCAGGTGTCAATCGTATAGTGCACACCGCTGGTCGAATGAATGGCAATGCGCCACCGATCCGCTGGTGTTGCCAAAACATACCAGGACCTGAAAAAGGGGTGTCCTGTCTGGAGGTTCCTGGGGCGAAACCAGCCAGGTGACCCCAACATGAAGGTGTTGGTAACAACTTATGTAGTCTCTTAAACTTCTAACAATCATACTGTTTTGCTTGTCTACAGGTAGGATATTACGGGGAGTTCTATTTGTGACGGCTAACAGCGTTCAACACCTATTAACACGATCGGCGTCCTCGATCGGCGTCCGCCATCCCGTTGGCCATGGGTCCGGGCCAATTGGCAACAGCACGAGGTGTTCCTCTCGTAGCGCATCACATCCGTCACTCGCCTGGGGGGAACCGTGAACCGTCCGGAACCGTTCCGGAAACCTCGCGCCCGCGCCCGGCCGCGAGTCGTTTTCGTGGTGAGCGGCCCAAGCGTGCGTTGCGTGAGAGTCAGCGTGAGTCTGCTCCATGCGTTTATGGGTAGTGTACGTAGAACAGGTGAGAAGTGTTGGACTTTCACGTTCTTGGATTGGCTATGTTGGGGCCGCATGGCCAAAACATGCCAAAACCACCAGAAAAGCTGGTTGGTGCTTTATTGGGTATCTTCTGGGCTGATTTGGCGATCGAATTCGGCGACAGCGTCCGCTGTCGCTTCGACCTTCATCGGAGTCTGGGGGAGCTTTTGGAGTCACCGAATCAGAACTGCAACGCTGACGTCACCACATGCTCGGAGAGGAACATGACCTCAACTTCCACCTAAACATGTCGGACTCCCACCATGATCGGAGGTTTGTCACCAAAAAGAGCATGCGGCGGCAGCGTCGACATCGAAAAACCAAGGAGCTTATTCAGCGTCTGCATGTCACCTTCCGTCTTGTCGACTTCAGCTGAGAGTGCCTAGAGGAGCGCCGCGCGCCGTAGAATGAAGTCTCTTCATCCGTCAAGACGCTCCGCGCTGTGCAGCACACGGAGAGGTGAACCAAACACACGTTGATGCAGCTGAAGGTCCCTTTTCTCTTCCCAACACACACTCTTTTCACCTCAAGAGACTTCATCACCAAGAGAGTTCAGCATCAAACCCCCAACCAAAACTCCCCAACCAGAACTCCCCAACCCCCCCGAAACCCTCCCAAACACCGATCCACACCCTCCGCACATGGACCCATCCATCCGCGTGCACCCTCTAACCCATCCGACCCATACCCCACCCGAGTGACCTCGGCCCGGAGCCGGTGCCGCTCGGCGGTCTGGCCGATCTGCCGTGCCAAGGGATCCAAGCGACCCAAAGCCTGGCCCACCTGGACGCGGTCGACGTCGCCGGACGCGGTCGACGGAAGCGGGAATCGTCTCGGTCGGTTGGAGGAGGGACCGGTGACCTTGGGCGGACCTGCGGAGTGGGACGGTCCTGCGGAGTGGATTTCACACCTCACCCCGGCGCGTCTCCCCCCCCCCCACCGCTCGTCTCGCCGTTCTACCTCACTGAGCTGCTTCTCGATGTCTTCGTCTCGCCGCTTCATGGCGGCCAAGGCATCTTCTTCCTACCGACCCCGCGGAGCGTTTTCCGGATGGAGAGGGACCGGGGCTGCGTACTTGGGTGGTGGAAAAGGAGTAAGAGCTCCATCAGGACGGCCAAGAACATGCGTTTGGTGGATGATTCTGAGGCCAACACCAACACCGTTAAGTGGTCGATGTCTCACATGCTTCAACGGTGAAGTCATGCTGGTGACGGCAGGGTTTCATGTTGGAGAAACCTGCGGTGCAATGATGGGGGGGGCATCCACACTGAACAAGTGTGGCTGCGAGTTGTGGTGAAGTGGGCATATAGAATTGTATGTGGAGTCAGTCATAATATGAGTTCCATACTTTTCCACCATGTGCCAATCAAATCAGGCTGAAACCGCTACAGTACATGTCTGCGCAAGAACACCTTAAGCATCTTTGACTTGTCTCTGGTTCATGTCCGTGCTCCGCCGAGAAGATCGGTGTTCCGATTCCATCGTCTCCTCCACGGACCCATCGACCGCCACCAGCGAACCAGCGAACCATGCACCATTGGTATACTAGGCGAACAGATCCAAAACGAGAGATGAAGAGAGATGACGAGAGTAGGATGGAGGATTTTTCCCCATGAAAGCATCAGAACACCGCGCTCATCATCGCTCAGTCAACCGCGCTCGGGGCGATCGGTTCGGGAGTAGAGAGATCGGCCCGGCCTGAGCAGTGAGATCTCGACGGGTGTCCTGCCGATGGACATGGTCGGGTAGGTCTGGTTTATAGAAGGGCATGTATGAAAATGAAGGTCCATGAATAGTCATAAGATGGCATAAGTAGTCATAAGTAGTCATATGTCATATTTCCTTGTGGTTCTCGTCATTTCTGTCTTTCATGCTATATAGGAAAGCTCTCCTCCACCTTTTGCATGAGGCAAATCGACGGGATCAATTTGCCGACCCTTCTGCAAAGAGACCGCACCAACAAGTCAAACAGCACTATTGTTTCATTGATTTTAGATGATTTTGTGCTTTGGTTTCCATCGATGTGCTTTGTTTCGATCGGTCTGGTGTCGCTTGGGGCGCTTTGGAGACCCATCCAAGCGCCCAAGACAAACGGGGACCGCCTCGGCACTGGCCCGCGCAGAGTCGCGAAGAGCGGGCAAGTTCTGCTTTCCAAAAAGCTGTGCACTGGGCGCCATGTCCTCACGCGGACACGCCGCGTGGGGATGATGGGATCACAGTGATGTTGCGATGCCGCAGTGAAGAAGGGATTGAACAAGGATTGATTTATCATGATTTGTGGATCATTTTTGGTGGAGATCGCTATGAAACCCTCTACCAGGGAGTGTATAGTAAGAGTGCAAGACCTACACAGGTTCCTCATCACTGGAGCCCGAGCCCGCTTGGTGATGTCAGAAACGGCTCAAAGGCTCCGTGCTCTCCTGAGCTTGTCCGCTCACGAACAGCTCATTCAGCTCATCCACATGCCGCTTCAAGATTCGGATGTCCTCACACCCAGTGGATTCGAATGTCTCTCCATCCCAGGCCTCGGGGGATCCAGAGAGAAAAGAGCTCTCCATGAGATCATTCTTTTCGAAGTACAGCTCATTCTAGGGAAACATGAGGATAACTTCCAATTTCTATTTGCATTCTGAATGACAAAGTTTGCGTGGAGACCCAAAGCAAGTCACCTGCAGGATGTCCTGAAAAAAATAGGGACAGCTGTGCGTCTCGAACTACTTCACCAAGTCACCATCATCTCACCAAACATCTTCTACACTGACTAGTAACAAGGGTATCGCTACTAGGGGCTCCTGGCCTTACTACTAGGAGCAAGGACGCTACTAGGGGCTCCTGGCATCGCTACTAGGGTCTCCTGGCCTTACTACTAG